TTTTTTTTTTTTTTTGTTGTTACTGTTGTTGTTGTTTTTGTTTTTGTTGCTGCTGTTACTGTTTTTTCTTCTAACATTTTGTCATATTTCTCTCCCCTTTTTTTTCCCCCTTTCTTATTTACACTTATTGATCTCAATAAATTTTCTGTGATGATGCAATATAAAACTGTTCGGTTTAAATACAGTCGCCGTTGTCGTCATCGTTGGTCGTCGTCTTTAGTCAGACGATATAAATGTTACCAAGCAAAATGCACACACACACACACACAGACACACACCTTCAAAGATTATCAACGTATATAGCAGGAAAAAAGTTACTAATATATATAAAAAAAATAAAACTTCTTCATTTCCTTCTTTTTTTTTTTGCCCAGCCAACTTTTTCGTGATAATATATCATAAGAACAGTTCTTTTTTCGTTTTGTTTTCTCATATATTTATCAACTGTCTGTCCTTCTTCTTCCTCATTTTTATGCAAATTTATTAAAGCTCTTCTTTTTTTTTACTGCTGCTGTTGCTGCTGTAATTGCAAAAATGAAAGATGAATACCTTGCATCTGTATTTGTTGAAATTGTAACGGTATAGTAAAACATCAGTATCATCATCGTCAACAACAGGAATCATAACAATGAACTTTTCTACAACATCATTAGTTCTGGTTACTAAATTTTTTCCACTTTTCTTTCCGTTTTTTTTTTTTTGCTTTGTACTTTATTATGTGGGCAACTTTCATTCTTCACATCCTCCTTTCTTGGTATTATTTTGATTTTTGTAGGTTAAACATTTACAACTGTAGGCCACAGAACATTATTAAGCCGTAAAAAAAGAAAAAAGAAAACAAAAACAGCAGCAACAGCAATAACAAAAACCATTATTTATTTTTTTTTTGCAAGAAAAAAAACAGTGTCCTTGTATATTACCCAACATTGATATTGTATCTAAGGCACACTTACTTTCCGTGTTGACCTCAGTGTCACTAAGTTTCATCTATAGTTTAACATTGTTCTTCTTACATCTTCCTTTGCTTCATTCTTTCCTCAAACATGTTGTATAAACAAGCAAAAAAAAATTTCTTTTTTTTTTCATTTTATATTCTCTTTTAATCATTTAAATGTAAAAATAAAAAAAAAAAACTTATTGAAAGATTAATACAGTTCGGCTTAAAAAATTATCAAAATTTCCAAAATTACCCATCTGCTTACTGGTATGACGTCAAAAACAATGTGAACACCTTAACGTTTAGTTATAACGGACAAAAAACTTAGCCACAAAATGGCGTATTTATTGTTGCAAGAAAAAGAAAAAAAACAGATTAAAAAAAAAAATAAAACCTCTTTTTTTGCTAAATTTTAACAAATAAAACAATTTTCATTTGTTTTCCCTGCAATTCTTTCTCAGCACTCACTTTTTCCTTTCGCATCCGTTTTCATCCTTTACCCATCTTTGATGTCAACTTATAATTTACCTTATTACATATTGGAAACAGTCATCATTTGTTGTATTTTTTTCTTCCCTTTTTTGTTCCCCGGTTCAATGACAGTTTATTGGATCGATTAAAAAAAAAAAGAATTTTTTTCTTTTTGAGATGTCAAAATCCATTAACCACAGTAGCACTGTCATCAAATACCCAAAAAATGCTTTTATCCAAGCAGAAAATTCATTGAGATAAATAATTTAAAAATGACTGAAGTGTATCAATGTAATGAAAAAGTAAATAAATAAATGAACAAACAAACGAACAAGCAAATAAAGAAATAAATTAATTAATTAAAATATATACAATATGTATATATTCAGTTGTCAATGAAGCGAAGAATGCAGCAGCCAAAAAAAAGTTTGAACTACTATCGGCTACTAATTTTACTCACCAAATATCCGCTGAAATAAAGTGGTCAGCATCGAAGTAATGCCCCAACAGTATCTGTTTGAGTTAAAAACACGCCGTATCGCTAAAACGTTTTCCTTTGCAAAAAATTAAATAACCAACAAAACCATTTTGAATTTTGTCATTCAATAATTACAGTTTTCCAGTTGATACCATCACTTTCAAAAACATTTGTAATGTTTTATCATCTTAGACGTATATGAAAGAAAAAAAAAATAACATTTCAATGGTGGTACCCATATATATAAGCTTTTCTTTGTCATTCTGAATTTTATTTGAACTTAGACAGTTGAGAACCCCCAAAAAAACCTCTTCTCTTACTATAGCATTAATTGTGCCTTTGTTTTTACTTCAGTTTTGTGGTGAAAAAAAAA